TATTCGAAGTAGTGATAGGATTTGATTTAAAATCCTTTAGTATTGGTGACCTTTGGTTTTAAAGGATCTAGTCCCCATTCTTAGTAAGAAATAACCTTTTTTATTTGGAATTTGGAGCTATTTCTGTATCATTGTCTTGATAATGGTGTACTATAAATATCGAACTTGTTTCCATGAAGATATTTTCATACCACTCCCTGCATCTTTCATTCATATTAGGAATTGAATCAACAAATCATGTGACACTCCATATTGAACTGTAGACTACATACCACATTTGTTTGATCAGACCGACTCAGTGTTTCCCATGATCCATAGTCCAAGTAGGAGCTCATTGGCGGGTCACTAAAGTCTGGCCGATAAGCCAAGTGGTCACAATCCTAGTATATGGATTTCAGATCCTCCCTTTGAGATGAGTAAATGTCACTTAGACTTGATGTGACCACAGCACCTAAGATGCATATGGGTATCTCTCGCACATGCATACGCTTCACCCTAAAAGGTTGTTTGCTTTCTCGAAACGATCTATCAATATGCATGTCATGTGATGGTACAAAGATGAGGCTTTGGCCCCCGTCTCTGCAGGCCACCATCACACACAAGGGTCATACAATCCCTCGGCTCACTCATTTGGGAATACTCCGACCTCATAAAGGATGACTCATTAGAACTCTTATCGGTTTATAGTTTATACCCAGGTAAAATGGGTTTTTTTCAACCGATTGGGCTAGACCATCAAGCACAAATCGGTATCTGCAAACACTGTTTACATAATATCTCCGACTGAGTTTATGTTCCACTATATCAAATGTTTTATTATAACCACTCATAAGGCTTTTAATAGTCATATAAACCCAACATTCAGACCATTCTTTTTAAATATGTTTATATTAATTTTATAGGCCCATGAGGATGAGCGGTGTGGGTACCTAAATTTTAGCTAAATATGATGTATGTCGAATTTGTTAGACCTGCCATGAATGGGCCTATGATTTTGAATTCTCATTCGTTAAACAAACCTCACCTCTCACCCATTAAAAAATCCAATTAATCAATTGAAAATGATTAATTTCTAGATCTCTAGGTTTCTAAAATTCAAGGTCCTAAACTTTCTAGAACTTTGCAAAGGTTGTCGAACCAGTACTTTTTGTTTCGAGATATCAAAATATTTGGCTTATAGAGTTCCTGAACTTCCTTAACTTTTTGTTTCGAGATATCAAACTTTCTAGAACTTTGCATAGGTTGCCACGACTCTCTCTCTTTCTTTCCATTTTTTAAATTGCCTAGATCGCAAGTGTAACAAAGCCTCGTGCTGCCGTTTCGCTCATATTTGGGCCACTTCAGTTAGATTCAGGTTCACTTTGGAATGATTTGGCCGAAGCTTTGGCCTCTTCAACCTAAGGAAAGAAACATAAGTTTTTTAAAATTTTTTAAAATTTTTAATTTTAACTTTTTATTATTTGTATATATATTATTTATTTTATTTATATTAATTAAAAAAAGGTCCGAAGTTTTTCTCCGAATTGGTCAAAGCACCGAATTGCTTTGTATTTTTCATCAAACTAAAGAAGACTCCGAAGCAAATTTGAAAAGAAAATTTGAGAAGAAAATTTCTTACTTGACAGGTCTTTCTTTCTCTCTCTCTCTCAGACACACATTCACACCCTTTCATATTTAGTAGGAGAATTTTTTTACTTATAATCTCTTATCGGTTTTATCCCAAATAGTTGGAATAAAGTTTGGATGATGATAATAATAACATCTCTATCATTTTTAAATTTTGTCCAAATAATATACGGCTACTAGCATTTCTTCCCAACATGGACAAATGGGTTGAGTAGAAATTTGGACCATCAACTTCATCCATTATGGGCATTAGATGTCATCATCATTATTATCCAAACCGTATCGCAATTATTTGGGTTTGGTTAATAATCTCTTATAAAAAATTTCTTGGTTCTATACTAAATAAAATCAGTTGTTGACTGATAGATGAACCGTATGTTGTCCCTTTCTCTGTAGACACCGAAATATGCTTTTATCAAACCCATTAGTAGAGACCACAGAACTTTTTCTATGATTTCAATTTCCAAACATTTAGCACTAGCCATTCAAAAGAAATTATTATCTAGGATCGAGACCTTATTGTAAGTCAAAATATTTAAAACATGTTTGGATATTTAAATCTCAGGTAATTTGGCGAATTACAAATATCGAATGATCCGTACAAAAAAAAAGGATCCTCATGGGCTAGGGCATGTTTGTGTGTAAACATCGTAGCTTAAGAGTATCTTAAGGACCCCAAAGGTTTGGAGATGTAATCTGATCTTTAACCTACGCCCTAACCTAAAATTGAAAGTTTAAATAAATAAATCAGAGTATAAAATTTACAATCTTGATGTGCTTGAAAAAAATTAAACCTTGAAAAAATTTAAACCTCCAAAGATCGAACAGGGACCATCTAATTTTTAAAGGGCAAGATCTACGTGTTTAGGAGCCCACTCACCTTTTGATTTTTAGAAAATTATGGGGTGGTTCTTAAACATATCCCAAAATTTTAAATAAGAATGTCCTCCCAAACAACTCTTTTGCCCCTAGGGCGTAAGGGTAGGGTAGGCTCTAAGTAGTATGATATACATGCATATGCATTTGGAAAATTGTTTCATGCGGTTTTGCCCCTAGGGCGTAAGGGTAGGGTAGGCTCTAAAAGTATAAAGCATCAATCTTGGAGATAGATGCAAATAGGTGGTCCATTTTAAAACAATTGAAACTAGCGGTCCAAATGTTTTTTTCATAAAATCATTATTTTTATTTATTTAAATTTATTTATGTTTTTATATTCATGATCTCCATGTTAGATATTACAAGACTCATTTCTACATAGACTCATAAAAACCATGTCCTATGCATTTTGCATAAATATTTACTTTGTATAAATTTTCAGGCTGGCCTCGGCAAGCATTAGCTGGACGAGAAACTTGATTGAGCCTAGCATATGCCTGGCCTGGCCTAATTCGGGCATGGCTAGGCCTGTGGGTGGTCTTAACTCCAGACTTGTCCCAGCCAATATGCCCTCGCCTGGTCCATGAGGCAACCCAAATGGTGAAGGGATAAATGACCGTAGTAAGCACATAATAGCCGTACCCAACGACTGGCAAAAGTAATAACGAAATTTATCAAGATATCTATTGGAGACGAACAATTTAGCATTGGAAAAAAGTTTATATAAAGTTGCAACCTTAAAATATAGAATTACCTCTGCATCTCCAAAATGCATCAGAAAAAAGTTACTTTAATTTAAAAAATCCTCTATTTGATCATCTCAACATCGAAATGTATGAATTTGAAAAAAAAAAAAGATTTTGAGTCCCAAAAATAGTGTTTTTCGCGACACATTATGTAGACCGCCCTTTTTCAAGATTTTCATATGTTTATAAATTTACTTCATTTTAACCATTTTTAGTCGTTAAAGTTTTATAATTAGATATGAAAATAGATTTTCAGATAATCCTAAGGATTTTAAATACCAAAAATACATATTATGATAAAATTTGGAGGTGCACGTTAATTGGATTGTTTAAGGCTGCAACATTATAGAAATCACATCCTTTAACAATTTACCTCTGATAAATACATACTGTTTTGTGTTGTAACAAATTGACATGGGTAAATAGCCCATCCCTTAAAAGCATTTTGATAAATTTCCCGAATAAGAATAGAGGTTCACGCATGCCTCTCTCACACACATATGCAACATGTGACTGTTGGATGTCTAATAACATAGTTATATGAGCGATTTATGTATGGCCTCTAAAATAAATACTAAAATATAGTTTGCTCCCTGAATACTTGAGAACGACCAACAAGGTCTGTCAACTCACGGCATTTTTTTTTTTTCAAATTTGCCTCTCGATCCTAGGTTATCAGCTTTGGACTGCATTTTATTTTTATTTTTTTTATATTTCTTGAGGAGGGCACTGCCCTGAATTTTAGGGGCAATGCTGCGGCTGTCAAAGGTTGGAATCCTCGGACCGCCCCTAGACTAAACAAAGGTCATGTGTAAGAGAGAGAGAGAGAGTGTTACATGAGCTGTGGGTTCGCTGCACTTGTTCCCTTTCAACAGATAACGTTCACCTTTCAATTCAAAATTAGCTTCTAAAGTTAGGCTTCCCGTTCTTATCCTCACTAATTTAGCTTACCTTGTATCGCTGTCATATAAACCCCTGCCCTGTGGATTATTTATTGCTTCTGTGTCTATATAAACCCTGCCCTTAGTTCATTATATGGAAAATTTTGATAACCCCAAATTGCACTTTTTATCTCAACCAATTTTTTTTATAGCATGTTTTATTCTAAAACAAATTTTTATAGCAAATATACCCAAGTTAAAAAGTCATAGTGTTTTGAATTAAACTGCTCTCCCCTTGATTGCTGAATGTCGTCGGTCCAGCACTTGTAAATACGGTATGGTAACATGGGCCATACAGTCGGGCCTATTTGCCACAAGATTTGACATTATGTTCCATATGGTCCAACATATTTGTTATATGGCCCGGTAGTATTTCTTGCAGGGCCTATGATGCGGCAAATCCTAAAGCGGTCTGGTAGTATATTATGTCGGTCCGGTGCTATGATGTTTCGGTCTGGCATAAGTTGCATGCGGTTCGATAGCTAATGTGATATGGGTTATGGTTCGATAGTAATATGTGCTGGATCATCTTTAGTGATTGAGCTTCTATAGGAACGTGGCGTCTTTATGTATGGACAAAGGTATTTTTATTTTTCAAACTATGACTTTTTTACTTTGCGTTCTTTGCTACAAAACCTGGTTTTAAGGTAAAAGTTTCCACAGAACTTTGCTTGGGGGGAATTTGTAAAGAAAGCTGACTACAGGGGGTTTTGTGATTTTTCGCTCACTATTTTGTTTATAAAGGCCTGCTTCTCTCCATATCGTTCAGCTGGGAACTCCAAACTCAACACCAGCAAGAGCCAAGCAAAATATGGATGCCCTTTGGCCATGGATCCAGGCCTGCTTGGCCATTGTTATATTGATAGTGATCTTGTTGCTCCTGTTGAGGAACAGGAGCACCAAAGAGACTGCAAGCCTAAACCTCCCTCCAGGCCCTCGCAGGCTTCCGATCATCGGAAACATGCACCAGTTAGGGTCGTTACCCCATCGATCCTTAGCAAGTTTGTCGCGGAAACATGGCCCACTCATGCTCTTACAGTTAGGCCATGTTCCCTCCCTAGTGATTTCCTCTGCTAAAATGGCGAAGGAGGTGTTGAAAACCCAAGACTTGGCGTTTGCGAGTCGGCCGGCCCTTGTGGCCGCTAATCGCCTATCCTATGGAAGGACCGATGTGGTTTTTGCGCCATATGGTGATTACTGGACAGAAGCAAGAAAGATCTGCGTGCTACATTTACTCAGCATAAAGAAGGTGCAGTCGTTTAAGCCGATAAGGGAAGAAGAGGTGGCTAGCATGGTTAGAGCCATCTCCTGCTCTTGTGGTGGTGGCCCTGTGGATCTGAGTGAGTTATTCTATACCCTCACTAACAGCATAATATGCAGGGTTACAGTAGGCAAGAGTTACAGCTCTGAAGGAGGACAGCAAAGAAACTACAATTTTCGCAAGATTGTAGGCGAATTTACAGCGTTGTTGGGAGTCTTCTGTGCCGGTGACTTCTTTCCCTCAATGGGGTGGGTGGACATCGTCACCGGGATCAGAGCCCGGCTGAACAAAAACTTCAAAGACCTTAATGGCTTCCTCAATGAAGTGATCAGAGAGCACCTAGGCAAGTCGGTTCCCGAGCCGACAGCCGAGCAGCAATCCGATTTTGTGGACATTTTGTTGCAGCTCAAAAAAGATCCTGGCCATGGCGTCCCTCTGAGCATGGAAAACATCAAAGCTCTTATCCTGGTGTGGCTCGGACACAAGCTTATATGATCTTATCACTGTTAAATATCGTCCTAATCACTAACTGACATGGGTTTGTGCACCCTGCAGGATATGCTTACCGCAGGAACAGATACAACTGCAACCGCTCTAGAATGGCTGATGTCTGAGCTCATCAGGAACCCGGTTGCGATGAGGAGAGTGCAAGAAGAACTGGAACGAGTGGTGGGAGGAAAAGGGAAGGCATTTGTTGAAGAAGAGGATCTTCATGATTTAGAAAACCTTCAGTCTGCAATCAAGGAGGCCCTTCGGCTTCATCCTCCAATCCCCCTTTTGGTACCACGCGAACTACAGGAGAATACTAGGATCGATGGATTCGATATCCCTGCTAAGACTAGAGTCTACATAAATGCTTGGGCCATTGGTAGGGACAATGATTCATGGGACAGAGCTGATGAGTTCTTCCCTGAGAGGTTTGTGAAGAATGACATTGATTTCAAAGAGCATGATTTCGAGTTCATACCATTCGGGGCCGGACAAAGGGAATGCCCCGGATATTCTTTTGCCATGCATACTATGGAACTTGTGGTAGCGAATCTCCTGCACTGGTTCGACTGGAAGCTTCCCTCTGGGTGCCAAGGTCTGGACATGGCTGAATCCTCTGGGATTACTATTCATAGAAAATCTCCTCTAATGCTTGTCGCCACTCCACGATATGAACGTGAGGAAACATGGCTAGAAAATCTTGTGAAATCTTAATAGTTGCTACTCCAGCTTGTACTTTGGTCCGGTCCGATGAATAAGAGAAAATATTGCAACCCAGGCAAACAAGAAGTTCTTACTACTAAAAGAATCGATATTGCATGGACTATTATAGTCTAATGACTGGATTGTACTTTAATGAAAGGAGTAATTTACATGTAGCCCCTAAAAAAACTAGGGAAAATACAAAATACCTCCATATATAGCCCCAAATTACCAAAAAAGGTCGGTCAACATGGGATTTTTTCCTTTTTCTAAAATTGCCCCTCAATATGAGGATGGCATCTTGAGACCGAATTTGTTTTTTTCTTTTTTAAAGTTTTTTTCTTTAGTAGGGCAGAGTTTTAAGGTCGAGCTCATGCAGTCCCAAGTTAGAATCCTCGAACCGATAGCATTTTTTCTTTAGTAAGCCAAATAGCTTAGGGTTTGACACCTGATGATTTGGATTGGGGTATAGGCGATTGGTCTTATGGATACGTTCTCCCTGTAATTATTTAATATTGTATTTAATGAGTCTTTTTTTTTTTTTTTTAAGAATGGGCTAGGGCCTTAGCAGTAGTACCAACGAGCCCTATAATGAAGTCTCTAACTCCATTCTAATCAAAGGATAGAGGCCCAAATCCCCACTAACTTACACTTTTTTTTTTTTCTTTCTTAATGAGCTTTTTTTTTTATCGATTTTAGGAGTCATCCTATTGTGGTCGATGATCCAAATCGGTATAATATCCAGGCGATTGAAAACCCTTATTAGTATATAATATAATAAAAAGAAAAAGTTTATACAAGGGCTAGGCCCTAAACAATCAAATTAAGGCACACCTTAAAAATTTACAAGAAAAGGTGGTTTCGATGTTGAAAAACCTTTAATTCGATCATATCAACCTCAAGATTTATGGACATGAGAAAAAATAGATGTTCAAGTCTTGGAAATAGATCTCAATCTAGGCTCAGCGTGGGGTTTGATAGAGTCTGGTTTCATTGCGACAGAATCTAAGTGTAAAGTTATGAATTTGATCATTTAAATGTGGGGGTTCGAGTCCCTATTTATCGGCAAGTGTTCCATCTAATTGCTTGTGAAACCTGAGATCAAATCTGGACCATCAGTCTATTTCATTACTACTAACCGCTTTAACGACATTGGCAGTCTTGTTGGACGGGATGTATAACACGTGACCCTTGATTTTACGGCAGACGTGCTTTTGGGCGGTGGCATGTAAGATGCAAAACAATAGTAGAACCATCGTTGGCTTCACTAGGTGCGTGTTTAGTGAGAAAATTGGGCTAAATGCTAGTGGTACTACTGTGGCACCATTTGCAATATTTGTTGAGGTAATCATGACCTTCTCCCGTCACCATCTGGCCTTCTCGATATCCGTTATTAGGCGTGGTCCAATCAGAAGTTGTCATTACTAGCAGCACTATCATTGAGAGGGGCACCGTCGTTATGGGTAACGATGGCAAATCTATTGTTCAGTTTACACCTTCCAATGTTAGTCGATTGACAACACTCTCAATCAATCAAAACCTGATTGTGATAATGGTGTGAACCAAACTACCAATGTCGTTACCTCTGATCATCACTTGTCGGTGTTCGCATTCCTTGGTGTCTGTTGAGTTTTGAATCTGGCAATTTGAGTCACCTCCTGTGCAACGTGACTATTGACGTTGGGGTTACCATAGTCATGGGTTCTCGACAACCTTATCCCTTCCATAGGCATTGCTTCCATTCAGGGCTATCTACTTTCAATTTCTTCTTATTTTGGGGGCTTTTTTTTGGCGCCTCCAATTAATTTTCAAAGTTCCAGACTCTATCGGCCAGTCCGATACTAGGTACGGTTCTTGGGGTTTTGCGGTGGTTTAGGTTTTAAGGTGGATGCTTCGAGAATACCGGTTTTCTTATATTTTTCTTGATCAGGATCATGATGTCTACAATCTGCTATCAATCATTTGATCAAGATCGGATGGTTGAGATTGATCACCATTTAATTGAACTACAATGTGGACTATTTGGTCATTGCAAAAGTTTAGGTCATATATTCATACATATTCACCTTATTCGAAGCATATATCAAAAAATAAAAAATAAAAAAAAAAGAAAAGAAGATACTCAAACAAAATAAGATAACCAAGATACCCCTCAAAGATTACGGTGTATTCGGGCCATTTTTTGAAGTATTTTTATTGCTTTAATAGGTGCATGAGGATGAGTAGTATGGATGCCTAAATTGTAGCTTAATCCAATGTTTGTCTAATTGGTTAAGAGTTGTCATGCCTGAGCGTATGATTTTGACGCTCGGTTGTGGTTTGGTGAACCAACCGGTCGCTCCTCTGGTTGAAGTATCGGGCTCCTTTTTCGTTGCCTGGCTTACACCTTCGACAAAATTTCAATTAAGCGGTTAAATCTAACTAATTTCCCGGATTCTAAGTTTCTAGAATTCTAAATCAAACTCGACTTCCCAGACTTCAGAGAACTCTGCATAGGTTATCAAACCAATATTTTCTGGTTGCAGACATCAAAATATTTGGTTTACAGAGTTTCAAAACATCTAGATCCTAGGAATTTACTAGCTTCCAATTATGAAATCGGTTGCAACAAATGTTCACAATAGATTAAATACTAGGTCAGCTGTTGAACTGGCTACTGGACAGGTCGGCGATCTAGTAGAAAATTAAAAAGATATAGAACAAAATAGTTGCAAAGAGCCATCTATTAAAGATAATTAAGTTACAAAGAATCGGGCTGATTCTTGATACAGATACATTGATTTCGATTTGGATTTACAATTTTTAAATGGTCAAACTTAATATTTTATAAATGCATGTGTACACTCGTGCAATCTCATTCATATCTATCTCTATATTATTAAGCAAAAATTAAGAGTTGATATATGTCACAAAAGTAAGAAGGGACCCTAATACTATAAAAATCGTAAGATAGATGTGACACATCCCCCCATCTTTAAAAGTGAAGACATAGAGAGATACCAATGTCTAAAGGAGAGGGAGAGGGAGATGGAGAGAAACAGATTGAAGAAAAAGGGAGTTAGAGATATGTTGAAGAGAGAGAGATATATGTGGGATGAGATAGTGGATAAGAGAGCGATGAAAAAGAGAGGGGGGATGGAGAGAAAGAGATAGAAGGAAAAAGGAGTTAGAGATATGTTGAAGAGAGTGAGAGATATACGTGGGATGAGATAGCGGATAACAGAGAGAGATGAAAACTGTGGGAGAGAAGTTTTTAAGAGAATTTTATGGACATGGAAGGAAATTTTATGAAATAGAAGGCAAGGAGATTTGAGAGAATTGGATATGTATCTATTATTCTTTTCTGTTTTGAACTTGTCTATTTGTTTATTGCTATAGGATTTTGTATTTTGGATTTATTTTTCTTTGTTGATTAGTTGTGTTCAATTTATTCGAGTTTTTTTTTTTTGGGTAAGTCAGTGGAGGAGAAGTAAGAAGTCTGGTGGCCTCGAACGCCAAATGGTGGCCTCTATGAAAACTATAGCCTTTTTAGCCAGCGCAGCGGCCACCATATTGGCCTCTCGAAAAACATGGGAAATGAGCCACGGATAATTCTCAAGTCTGAACTAGTAGTTAGCAACTTTGGTATGAAGTACCCATGGAGATTTACAGCTACCTTGTATAACTTGAACCATCAAGGAAGTATCACTTTCAATTTGGAGAGGGAAGCAATTCATTTGAATAGCTAAATCGACACCTGCTTCTAAACCGCAGGTGCCCATGGGGATGGAGAAGATAACAATGAAAGAGCCATCATCCCTTCTAATGATACCCCCTCATCCTGCTCGCCTTGGATTTCAATGTGAGGACCCATCAACATTTAATTTAAAATGCCGTGGATGTTGAAACAACCATGCTAGTCAAGCAACATATGACATATATTGTCATCATTAGAAAAACAGTAAGGACATATAGAGCAAAAGGGTGATGCCCTTCTATTGCATGAGGAAAGAAGTAGGAAGTCGATGATGAAGGCTCAGCCAGGAGATCCATTTAACCTTGGGATGACACCTGGAGGACCATAAATTCCTAAAATTGGCTAAGAGGAACCCTTGAGACAGATATAGTTCCAAGCTTCCCGAATTGAGAAGGATCCACTTGAAGAGTGAGTCCAAACCAAAATATCTGGCTGAGGTTTCAACGGGATAGTAGCATCGTTCACTTCCTTCCAAAGTCTGATCCACTGATTCCATGTTCTAACTACATGACCTGTCGAAGTAGAAGGGGCACATCAGGTTTGCGGATTGCCATACAGATAATCTACAACCTTTGGTTTAGCAATGCCAGCCAGGTCAGTTTGCATATGAGCACCATAGTCTTCTAGAAGGGATCACTTTGATAACTAAGGGCCTGTCCAAAAGTCAACTGATATACCATCCCCAATGATCCAATGAACATTATGGCACAAGAGGGACACCCCAAAATGGATGTCCTTCCATGCATAGAAAAAATAATTTTGTCCACCTCCCAGATAGAATTATTTTTGAAATACCTGTGCTTAAAGAATTTGGCTATAAGAGAGGACAGGTTAGCCAAAATTCTCCATGCCAACTTCTTCATACCTGCATTATTGAATTCCACCGTATCACGAACCCCAAGTCTCCCCTATTCCAATGACAGGTATACATTTTTCCATTTCACTAGGTAAGTACCCTTCCTGTGAGTTGAACCAGCAAATAAGAAGTTCCGATGAAGTCTCTCTAACAAGTTACATGTACGCCAGCGCAATATACAGTATAAGAACTAAAAAATTGTAGATGAACTAAGCACTGACTTCAACAGTTGTAGCCGGCCTGCATAAGAAAGAGATAAAGCTTGCCAAGATCCAATCTTTCAAATAAACTTCCCCACCAGACTTTGGTAACTAGAATGTTTAAGATTATCTTGAAACAAAGGCAACCCCAAATATCTTACCGAAAGGGATCCCTCGCCAAACCTCAATTCCCTCAAAATCGCATGCTTAGCACTCATGG